TACAAATATATTTTTTAAAAGTCCATTTTCATCCAGAAACCTGACAATTGAAAATCTACTTTAATTTCCCCTTTCATATTGTTTCTCATTCCAGTGTGTGTCAAGAATTTAATTGTAGCATGAAATTAACCAGTTATAAAATGCTGCACTTATGCCCTTGCCTTCTAAAGCAGAATGCACTAAATAATTTGCTTAATGGCCTCTAACATGGGACCTCAATTTAATAACTAAAGTGCCCTTACTCACTGGATGAATTCCTGGTGAGAAGTGCTCTGTATGAAATCCATCAAAACATTAATGGATCAAACACACACACAAATCCACAAGCATGTATTCATTCAGACACAAATCCATACATGCATATCCATACATATGCCCAAACACACACACACACACACACACACACACACACACACAAACACACAAGATAACATATACATACACTAATTCTACCACCCCAACACTCCATAATCACATTTACAGAAGCTAAAATATAAATACACACTCTGACATACCAAGCTGTTAAGTTTGAAGTAAATTTGTCTTACCTATAACTGTTCCTTTTGTGAATGTGAGAACTGCTGGGGGATGAATAGGCCTTATTTCCTTAGTAGTTGGAGTGAACATGACAACTCCACAAACATGAACCCAATATGTTTCTGTCTCTGTTTTATATAATCACTCTCTCTTAAAAAAAATACATTGTCTTAGTTGGGAAGGGAAGAGGAGAGGAAGTGAAGATGGAAAGAACAATAAAATATAATTTATGAAAAAAATACTAAAAATCAATTTCTATAGTTCTAGTTGCTTCTAGAAAGCAACGTACTATAAGATAAAGCAATACCAGCTTAGATATAAACTTGGAGTGAATTAAAGTTATTCTTTGACTTAACAAATTTGCATGGATTGTCTTCCATAACCACTTATTTATAAGCATGCTGCAAACCCATATATTCAGAGACTGAAGCAAGGGTGTGAGACATGTCTTTTGAGAAAACTGAATAAAATTCCTTGACTTCTGATTTCTGTTTTCTTTAATATATCTAATTCCATCTATTACCTTAAGTTGATAAAAATTTAAGGCAGTAAAATGGCAGAAGACAATAAAATAAAAATAACGTAAACAAAAATTTGAAAATTGATAAAATACTAAAATTTTAGAAAGATTTTTATGGCTTAGACAGGAGAATATTAACAATCGTATTGTATATTTGGGCACCTATAATGATTACATTGTAGACAGTTAATGGTAAGGACTTGACATGTAAGTATATAGTAAATAAACTATTGGACTCCAAAGTTGAAAAAAATTAATCTCTGTGTTAATTTTTAAATCACATGATGTAGAAGCATCCTACAGTGCTTGTAGGTGTTGTATGATTTGTGTGGCTGTGTACTTTGGACAGAGATGATAGTTAGGATTTGAATGATAGAAAACATTTAGAGGATGCGTAAAAATGAGGTGTTCCATTAATTCAAATTAATTCTACAGGACAAGAAAAATAATTTGATAAAAACTTGAATTTTAGTGAATGCTGCCATGTTAATATTTTAACATAGAATAACACTTTTAGTTCAAATACCACAGCCTTTTGTAATGAGTCCCAAAAGTATGAGGATGACAGTCTTATCCCCAAAGCCTAGATATGAATATAGATGAACTAAACATTGAACACAACTAGGTGTGACCTTAGATTCCTGGTAGTGAATTTCATTGATAATCTAAGAATGATATCATGCACATAAGGATTAAAATGATTTCATGTGTCCACCTGACACAATCTTATAAATGACAGTACGTTCATGATTCATGTAGGGTGTATTTACTTAATGCACTCCATCAAGGAATTGAGATTAGTTAATATGTCTATGGCATATTGTCTTGTCTGCCCAGGCACAGTGCACTCTGTCTACCGTCAAGAAAGAGACTCAATGCATGTTTAGATAGTCATGAGGATGATCATCATGATCCTGATCACTACAAATGGGTAATGATATCACACCCAGGCATTTATCATTTTAAAGGAAACACTGGAATCCTTGTGTGTGACAGCACTGTGTCCCAGTGTGTGGATTTCTCTCTTTTTCTGTTTGCTTAAAATGGTCTTTGCATTGTGTTCCCAGGTTCTCTCTGTGGCATTAATTCAGACATGCCATCAAATTGTACTCCTCATTCAGATCTGGGGTGGTGGAGGTCATTCTGTTCTCATGTTAACTAAATCAAAGTCTGTTTCAAACCAAGATTGCCAATTCCATTGAGCTAAAGATAGAGGCTCTTTGCTAGAGGGAACTTACACAAGGGGCTGTGTTGATACCTTTAAGCTGACTTCTTTTTACAATTCTAAGTCACATTGAAATGGAAAGACTTGGGCAGATAAGGTCACTGTATTAAGGACAAATCCCCAAGCAGTATTTCTTCTTAAAACTCAATACCACTCTAATCTTTCACTCCTATACTTTAATACAACCATATGACTGTGCAAGCTTAGTGTTTCCACCTCATTTCAAAATGCTCTGTTACATTCACAATATCTCCTTGGAGACTTTTAATCTTTTGCAAAGTGACAGAATACTTTCCCTTTGACTATAGGTTCAAAAGAAGGTGCTTGTGTTTTCAGGTCATAAGTGAAATTGATTGGCTCCTTTAGAAAAATCCCTTGAATTGGTGTCGATTCAAGCCAGAATCTCACAAAAGCATGTTGTATTGGGCTTATAAAAAGTATCTGTTTATCACAATGAGTACTCCTGACAGCTGCTCATTTGAAAATATATTATTCTCAGGCCTCATCATTAAATATATCATTCATGGTTAGAAAACAGGCTACAACTATGTAATTCAAAAACTCAAGGAAATTAATCGCTACTCTGTTTTCCTTCTCTTCTCTTCCATTAACATCCTCTGCGACCTAATGTTACCTGATGGCGGATAGCTGTCTACACTATAGTAATAGTCTCATTGGAGTCCTCCAGCTCTATGCTGACTACACCTTTCCTGCTTTCCTTTTAGCTTACACTTGACAATAGAGTTCACTGGGATTATGCCCTGCCAACTTAGTTTTGGAAGATTGCTGATAGACACCATCCTTTATGTTATCCAGTTAAACACCCTTTCCCTTTTTCAGTCTTCTGCTACACCTGTATAGTCCAGTCTAACTCTGTGGGGGGAAACGTGGTCACCAATCAAAGAAAATTCAGCAAGACATGTATTATGGGTATTGTGATTGAGTGGCAGCTGACCCACACTTAGAGAACAATTTATCTACCTGAATTTGGCTAGACATCACTAATGCACATGGCAGATTGATTGTGCAGCTTTAGTGGATGTATTCTTTATTAATGAGATTCAGTATGATTTGCTAAAAAGCCTTTTACTGGGCAGTAACTTTCATCCCCTCCCCCATCTCTCTTTATCCCATTTAATCTGTTGAACTGTGTACCATGTTTTAAAATGTGTTCTGCTCTGTTTTTGTTTAAAATACCAAGGCTTCTTGAAATAACTGCAGGGGAACTGAATAGAAAAATTACAAAATTTTAAAGAGAAATATTGAATTGGAATGGACTATAAAATGGAAACCTAAAGATTAAATTAAAATCCCAGTGAGTCATTAAGAAGTTATAAAAGTATAATTATATGAAAAAGATGAGACAGTCTAAGAAAAATATTTGACATCTGGATTAACTAATTTCTCAAAATAAATGTTTATACTAACAAGGCTTATAAACACATAATCAGATCTCTTTATACATAAAATAAGAATTTTCATTGGTTTGCTGAGACCTAGGATTTATGGATTTCAAAAAGAAGAGAGTAGACACTTAGACAAAAAGCATCAACTGCGTATCTCTCAGCTATTTGCTTAATCAACCAGAGGCAATGGAACAGAGTGAATAATCTGTACTGAATATGATTTTCTAAAATACTGATACTTTTCCAAAAAAGGAAAGGTGGAACATTGCATCACCTGAAAAACTACTGCTTCATACTGCAATGCGAGGGGACACAAAAGCAATCACCTCCCTTGTCTTGAGAGAAGAATCCGCATGGTCTTTGTCTGCTGCAGTTATTTCCTCATTATCTTTTCTTTTCACTTATTTATTATTGACCTCTATTATGCTTCTTATAATTCATGACCTCATATATGCTTCACAAAATATTATTACCTCTCTAAATAAAATACAATATATTTTAGACTGTTATATATTTCAACTATTAACATACATACCAACTTTTTTTAAAATTATGTATGGAAATTGACAACAGGCATCCTTGGAAGTTAAGCATTTCCCTGGGAAAATTTTAAGAAACTTGATTGATTTCCTCCATTTATGTCTGGTACACTTTGTCAAAAAGCTGGACATGTCTGAGTTTCAATTACTACTTCAAAGAGAAAGAAACAGGAAGAGCTCTTTCTCCAGGCAAAGGGCAGCTGGGAACATGGCAAAGCCAACCTGCTCAACATCCAGAAATACTTTAAGAGCAAGAAATATCTTGGGAGGAGTTTAAACTCTGGTACTGAAAATGTGCTTCTTGCTTGAAGAGGAACACAAGTGCAAAGCACCGACAGACATCATTTTAGATATGAGCTCTTGAGATATGCCATAGTTGTTTTATCTTCATGATACATTTTTGATGGATTCTCCCTAGCTACAGCAAAAATGTTACAGCGGTTTGACAGAAAAGATACATTTTCCTTAAAAGAGTGAAAATGTTAACAGTTCATACTATAAGAAGGCAAATGTTCAAGGTAATTCCTCTTAAAACTATGGAAATTGTTTATTAGATTGCACTATGAATATCATGTGTTGTGTTAGATTATGTTACAATGCCACACTATGTAAGCTCATCTCAAATTGTTGTGACAAAGGTTAGAAAGCATACTCTCCACAAAAATAGTTTCCTTTCTCTTGGCTATCAGTTTAATAACTAAGACACAAACACATCACAAGCTAAATCCTTTTAAATCTATCTGGATGACTAATTTTTTCCTGTAATTTTTAAGAATTTTAGGAAAAAGAACAAAATATGGATACGATGAAACAGAGTGTAAAAGTTGCAAGATTTTTTGGCAGTGTGTGTCATTTGTTAATCCCCCAAAGGAGAAATACTTCAATATTGGTTTTTAGCCTCCATGGAAGTATAAAAATTCAACGAGTAACAGAGCAGTCTATATGATAAAGAAGGGACAATGGTGGTTACAGAAGCAATCAAAGCCACATCAACAACAATGCTCGAAGCCACATCAACAATAATGCTCGCAGTGACTGAGGCTGTCAGCTCTGGGCAATGTTGGCTGCCTAAAAGCCAGTGAGACCCACATGGTGCATGTACCTGTCATGTGTTTTAACAATTGGAAAAAAAGTGTTATTTTTCTCAATAAAGAATAAATGAGTACGTTTGAGATTAGTTAAAGAACTTTAGATGGATCTCACTAAATCTAGCAAGTAAAGACTCTAATCTCTTCTTGTATTTAGAAACTGGAATTTCAACATTGTTAGGCTATGCTTCATTCTGATTACATACACGGCAGGGCTCCAAATTTCCACCTTACAATGGGGTAGAAATTGCAGGTTTATCAAAAGACCTTAGAACAAGGAATGTGTCCTATATACATCAATTAGCAGGCTAATTATTCATTTCTTTGCAGTTGCCAAAGCACTGTACATAAACATTACCAATGGCAATAATGATTGAATCTATTCATTTATAAAGACATGGTTTCCACTTGAGAATGTAAAGTGTCATACAGGCCTCCATCTGGGTTTTATCTTGTTTCTTAAATTACAGCATTAGGATTGCTAGCTTTAACCTACATGAGAAAACTCCCAATGCATAGATTACATAGCTTTGAGAAATTAAGATCACTGATTCCAGCAAACACACAAAATCAATACCTCTGGGTAATTATCTATTTGTTCTAGTTAATGTAGATGCTCACTCTCATTTCTCTTCAATGAATATAAGTTTCAGATTTACTGAGTGAAATTGTTGTATGATACATTGACAAAATTTTAGTAGGGTGGGTAGATACTATGTCCAATATTTTCATTATAATAATCATAAAAAATTTCCTTGAACTTAAATATGTATGTATATATTCATAACACAAATGTCATTAAATCACTGGAAGTTTAATAGACACCTGAAGCAATATGTATGACATCTTTTGTCACTAACCTAAATCTTGTCTCCTCAATCCCAGTTAAGGTTACCATCATCCCTCTATGGTACCCTCACTCCCACATCCAATCTGACACAAATTTGACCTATCCTACCTTTGAGAAAGATCTACAGTTTCATCTCAGATTCTCACCTCCAGGCCATAGTTTACCATCAACTCAGTCTTTCTACATCTGGAGGCCCAGTCTCTCTCCTTGTTGACCCACAGATCAGCTAAAAGGCCGTCTTTTCAATTATAGGAGTTAGATTTCTCATTCTGCATCCCAAATGACCTTAGCAGTTTCCCATTTCTTGCCAATTTCTCTGACTGAGTTCAAGTCATATTAGTAACCCCAAGGTCCCTGAAAGACTGTGCATCTGACCTGGTTGTCTCCCCTTTTCCACCTCACTGGCTCAGCACTGTTCTAGCCACACCCTTGAATTTCCTCTCTTCTCAGAAAAGTGCTCCTCTGACTTCTTCCCCTGGTGTCTCTTCTGGTAAGTAAGCTTGCTGCTCCAGACAGTGTGGCTCTCCCCCTCCCTCTAAGCTCTTTGTTCATATGTGACATGCCATCTGAGATAGCTTGAGCAATCTGATTTAAACTACATTCTGTCCATGCCCCAAAATGCAATTCCCTCTTTGTTGACAATCTTGTCACTTAAACTAGGCATGGAGAGTAATCTTTGATGTAAAAGATGCTCAATAATGGGGGTAATAAAAAAGTGTAACATAGACATCAAATAGCTATGTAGTACACATATGAATTAGTCTGATAGCAAATCACCTTTCCTTGGTAATGGTCATTTTCATTTCATTGAGCCACTTCATTTCTTAGTCTAACACCAAAATATACTGAGTGCTTTACTTAGCGCCATATCAAAGACTAAAATGAATTTACCAATTAAAATAATGGATTCTAAAAATTGCTGTATTTTTGTGTTTTTAAAACATCTACTTGGTACAGCATGCTGAAGGTGCTAGTTTTTTAGGAAAGGAAGAAATTTCCTCCCTAGGCATCTTGGCAGGCTGATTATGTCCATGTTCTGATATGAATATTTCCAAGTATGAGCATCATTGAGAATAACTTTTAACTAGAGGTATATGTCTCCATCAGAAATTCACAGGGTAAGGTTTGATTTTCCTTCTATCAACTTAAGATTATAATTAATTTCAAGGTAACCCACACATTTGTAATGCAGACATTTTCTTTGGGCAACCTCAAAGTTGGACAGAAGCCTCTGAGGCAATATTATTAGTATGCTTGGGATTTACTCTGGCAATTCTATTAGATTAGATATGTTCTCCAAGGGGCTATTTCACATTTAGTAGAAAACAATGAGAACTTCCACTGGTTCATATTCTATTCCACAATAATTCCTTTTTTGTATTTGCTACTTTTCAACATTTTTATAAATACCATATTTACATAAAAGGTTGAGAATATTCCCCCATAACTTAAATTGTGTATCAAAATAGCCTTTGATGGGAAATGTTAGCCAAAGATTCCCTGAGAATCTATAAACAATTTAGCACTATATATTAAGGAAAGAGTACCTTTACTTTTGCAATGAGGTTCCTTTAAGTCACCCAGTTGTCTTGGAATTAGGTATCCAGAAGTCTGCTTCTCTCTCGACATCAGAAGAAATCACCCTGAGAACTGCTCTGTCTCTATGTGGCTCTGTTCTAAAAAGCCCCTCCTCTTGCTAGCATCTGTCTATTTATTTCAGATACAGAACAGATACTGATCATCTTAAAGCATAAAGCCGGTGCTAGGACCAGGGTGTAATTGAAACAGAAGCAACAGAAAACCGAGTTGTTCCAAAATCATTCTGTTAGAAAATGAAGTAGACAAAGGAACTGAAAAGCCCATTCATCGAGCTCTAATCTCTACTGCCAGGTGAATAAGTATGAACACAGGCTACCATCGCTGCAAATATTAGCATCATGCAAATTGCAAGTAGATGATTTGTAAATACATAATAATCATCTTAGGACCTGTCCTAAGGGGATGACCCTTACTAAAAACTGTGGGACAGCATAACCAATACCATTTGCCTAACACAAGGGAGTTCTTAGGTATTTGATAATAATAACTTTCACCACTATCATTGAGAAACCTAAGTTTAGTAAGTTGAGGTACACATAGCTTTCCTTGTAGATGTTCTTTCTGGCTCAGTAAAGAACAGCCACCAAGGGATGATCAAGGCTGTTTACTGATTTTTTTTCTTCTAATCCTGGGTTGCACAGATTAAAAATAAAATTCTTATGTATTTGGGAAAGTAACCAAATTACTGCTATGTTTGGCTATTTCATTCAATTCAGAAAAAGACTGTCTGGATATATAGTTTTTAACACTAAGGACAAGCAAAACAGCTTGTGGTACTCTGCAATGATTAATAGAAAAGAGGTTTGGATTAATCACAAGGACACGAGGAAGCCAAAATTAGAGAAGGCTATTAGGAGATTCTGCTGTTTAATCTCACTCGGTATCGAAACATTAACCTTGTTTTCTCTGCCTGAACACCGAGTCCTAGAGTAAAATTAGGTCAGAAATTCACATCACATCAGATCAAGAGATTCATGGCAGCCCAGGCACCTGCAAGCTGTGGATGGCAGAGGGCTTAGCTCCAGTGCTTGTCTAAGCCTAGAAGCAATGGCTAGCTAGAGGCTACCCCTGAGCTACCTGTAGATAATTTCTTTATACTGTAAGGCTAGCTGTAGAGCCCTGTTTCTGAACCTTTGTTCATTTAGCTGTCTTCACTTTGCTTATGGAATGATGATTTTGGTATCTTTTCTAATGCAAATGTAGGAAACTTGCCATTGCTGCATGCCTGTGTTGAGAACAAATGCACTGGGGAGAGCTGTATGTGACCAGAGTAGTAGTTCATTCTACGCTGAGGGTATATAGCATTCACAAAATGGACATCAATGCATTTTCTGTTACCACAATGTTTTCCATTATGTTATGAGTAGGATTCCAAAAGCCAAAACTAACTAAATTATTTGTATCAATGACCATATGTCTGTGATAAGCATTCTCTGTGTAACTATGACTATGGAAATAAAACAAACTGATTTGCAAATTTGGTATCATAACCATGTCCTTTGGGGGTAATAGTGAATCAGTACATGAAAAATACATTTAAAATTCTCATTTTTTATTGTAGCTTTCTCTCTAAAAGTACAAGAGAGACTTTAGTAGCACTTTAATTCCCTGTGCATAACAGGCAATCTGAAACTCTTCAATCTACACAGTTTTCAAGTGCATACACAAATATACAACTGCATGCCTTTTTAAAAGGAGCCACGTGTAATCTAATTCTATTTCAGACTGTCACTTTTAAAGAGGAAATATAACCTCATATAGATCCCCTGAGGGCATCCATGGGGAATAGAGACATTGGTAATCAGCCTAAGTAGTCCTTTGTGTCAGAACCACTTTGCTAAAGTCAAGAGCTGTCTTCCAGACTCACAATGTTTGGAAAATTTCACTAATGCAGCATTTCTTTCATTAGAAGAAAAACAACCAACTGTTTCCTACAGAGAAGACTATGTTTGAAAAGAAGTGAAAGTTTTTTGTTGCTTTTTATTTCTTACATTGTTTTCAAAATAACCAAATGGGATGGCGTGAGAACTAAATCCAGAATTCAAAATGAATTTTACTCAAAAGGAATCCCAGAAGCCAGTGTTACCTGTGGTGTCTACAATGGTCTTTTGATTGTTCATCTTCTTCAGTGACTGTCCCTATTTGCTGATGTAACATGGGGGTACTTATAAACAGAGGATCTACAAGAAAGCCTGTTCTCAGAGGTGCTTGCAGATGCTGCCCCACAGGTCACCTGTAGTTCATCACTTTCTTCCTTCTTATTGGTCACAGTGGAACACACTGACCATCAAAGTTTGTTCCTCACCTTTCTCCATATTCATGACCAATTAGGGCCTTCTAACCCATCTTAAATGAACTATCTTGTTGCAAGGTACTTTTGCATGCTTGTTTTCTTTCGGGCTATTGGATAAAAATAAATCTCATTTACCTGGGCCTGTACAAAGCCATTGGGATTTAAAATAGCAGAGACAGTAAACCACTGAAATAATTGCTTTCATTCTCCATTAATTTCTCCCTTTAAGTGTTTCTCTCCTTCTTACCAAACAGTACTTTAAACTGGTAAGAGGAGCACTAAGAATGCCACTCTTTTCTTTATTTAGTATTTCGTTTTCACCAGCAAGTCTTTTCAGTAAAGCCCATATGACAGATAGAGGGGAAGATACAAGGAAGTTAATAGTGACAAGGGCTCAAGTTGGTTTAAAAATAAGGAACTGGGCTCAGAAAGCCTAAGTGACTTAGATCACAGAAAAATCGAGGGTGATATTGTTTGTCTAAGGGCTCTCTGTTAAAGCTTCTCAGCTTGAGCACAAAGGCATTTCTGCAGTATGTGGTCCAGAAAGCCAAGCACATGAAATCCTATCTCCATGTTTTAAGCATGCCTTGGCAGTCTGCACATTTTTGAAATTGCAACTGGCGCATTTCACAGAGAATTATCATCAATGCCTTTTCAAGGTCAAATGTGCTGCCTTTTAGGATTCTTGGCATTTACGTCCCCATATATTAAATCACAGAATATATTTTGAAGGCATTCAAAGACAGATGACGTAATTTTAATTAATTAGATGGTGTTGATTAATACCTTGCTGATTTTTTCTACTTGATATTAATTGCAAGGTTAAAAATCAGAAAACTGAAATATGAGTTTGATTTAAATGTGGGTGTTCTGTGTTTTTTTTTGGTATTCCAGGATCTCCCAAAAGCATGCTTGAATAGAACCCAGTTGATGAGTTCTAAAGAATGGACATTTCTTTTTGGAAATGTTGAAGTGATATGATTAAAAAAACATTGAGGAGAGATTATCATCATTTCAATATTGCCATACTCCTGGGTTTACCAGTCTTTATATGAGCAAAATAAAACTGAATTCAGATATTAAAATGATACCTAGACTGTACTGTTGGAGGAGATGCCACAGCCAGTCCTTTCCCAAAGCAGTGAGGAGGCTTTTAGACTCCTTCTCAAACAGAGGCAGTGCTGGCTGGCTTTGTTCACTTTTTTCCCTCTCTCTAAGCACCTCCCCAGTCACATTCAAAGAAATCTATGCCATTTTGTTTCACATGGGTTTTGCTTTTGGAAAAGAAAAGTGATTTGGAGAAGTTTCAACAATTCTGGGCTCTCATAGGATTCTTACACTTCCAAGATATTTACACATGAAATTAGAATTCCAGAAAAAAGATTTGGGGTAGGGCTGAATAAAGAACTGAGTTATAAATAGAAAGATGCAAACCATATCTTTTAATTCCTATAACATTCAAACACTGTGGGGCAAGAATTAAATGTTATTTTGATATGATTGTCCTTACCTATGTCTAGAGGATGCCCCATAGGCCTCACTATGATGCACACTTGGTCATTTTTACATTACTGTTGAGTCTCTGCTAGGTGTGGGTGATTCTCAGAAAACTCACTTCTGTAAATCTTTGGTGACTTCCCCTTTCAGGTCCCAGGTGGGACAGGCCTGCACCTTGGTCTTTTCTCTGGCATAATGGGTCACACTGAGAGCTGTCCAAACTTCTGGGTCCTGCCCTGCACCTGTAACTACAGTGATGATTCTACAGGAGCAGGAAGAAGGGCAGGTTCCGTGTTTCTTTCCCTGCTGGCTCGCCTCCAATGTTGTGGTTCTGGCATTGCTCAGTCTTCCTTTGTGGCTCCCTGACAACACATATTAGGTTCTTCCACTGTCCTTATCTTGTGTGGTGTTAGGTGCCCTGGTGAATATTACTGAATTTTTGACCATTTTCAAATTTAAGTCCTAGGTGTCCTTGCTGTCCTGTAAGCTCATGATTTCAAAGGAGATGAAGATGTTTCTCACTCTTACCATATAGAACTCTTATTTTGTTCTCTACCAAAAGTCCTGGGTCTTTTACCAAACCTCCATCCAGAATTTCTACCTGAGCAGATAAAAGGCTTTGTAACATTTGCACATCAAAATAGGCTAGAATTCGATGCTATTTGCCTTAAACTTGCTTCACTTTCAGCTTTTGCCATTTCATTAAATAGAAATGCTGTCCTTCTAGGTCAAGCAACAGCAACACACATAGGGAGCAACAACAGCAGGCCAACCAGACCTCCTTGCCTTTCATCCTCCATACACAATGCCTAAGTCTCATTAATCTGAAAGTTCATATGGTGTCTATAATGTATCGACTTGACCCAATATCACTGCAGGCATCTTAATTCCAGTCACCATCAATTAAGAAAATAGAACAAAACAGGGGTGTTTATTCTCATCTCAAGCTATGCCAGACTTAAGTCTATAATGTACAAGGTGGAAATCAATGTACACCATTTTCAGTTTTTTTTTCAGCCTTCTAAGTGATCTGAGCTACCAGAAAGCAATCCAAAAAAAAAAAAAAAAATGAACTCAAGTTCACACAACTACATCTCCGACACACAGCCCATCATGGATTGACAGGATTAGGATGTATCTCCACCTCTCTACATGCTTGTTCCCAAGTGCCTTTGACTTCAGATTTCTACATTATGGATCATGCCTCTTTAAACACACGTCAATAAAGCACTTGAAACCTAGCCACTTCTGTTGTCACTGCATTTGGATATTTATGCAGAACCCTATAAAAGGCTGTTAATATAACATGGAAGCTAGTGGGATGGTTGTGTACATTGCTAGGAAGAACCAAGAGGATGATGCAGTAAATAAGTCTATTTGCATACATATAAAACAATTCATTGTTCATTTGCAACTGCAAGGTTGCAAACCTTTAAATATATTATAGTGCTATTATTTCTCTAGCAATTGTGTAACCCTTTGCTTTGAATTTTTAAAAACTTTAATATTCAAAATTAAAGTAAAACACTTATATACAAATAGAAGTCTGTCAGAAATGCTAGTTAGAAAAAAATGGTATGAAAAGATATCTAGCATACTACAGCAAAGAATAAATTTTTAAGTTAAACTGGATAAAATTTTAATAATTCAGAAATAAAACAGTATATTCTTTCAGCATATTCTTCTAAAACATCTTTCTAATGTTGTCCCTCTCCTTCCTCACTCTTTTACTCCATTCCTCCACTTTTTCTTCCTCCATCTTTCTCTGACATGTAAAATGTTGTCTTTAAATTACTAGTTTGGTGCAACATTGCCTTGCCACTTTACAACCTACAAAATTGAACTTGAAAAAATATTTTCATTTCCTTAATATAATCTTCCCAGACAGTATATGACTAATATATTAGATGGAACATCCAAATATCCTATTACTAGTCAGTCATGCAGTTTACTGAAAGGAGTAATTTTCTCCGTTTTGAAATTTTGGATGTAATAAATGAACTCCGATAATAAAACAGGATTCCCAAAACCAGCCTGCAATCATGGGGAAACACATAGGGAAAAAGATGGCCTTATTTTTCCATAGAAAACCAAAGTCGTGTGCCATTCCTTTGTGTACACTCACTAGGAGCTTTAACCTCTACATGGAAGGCTGCAATCTGTGGTTCATTAGCTTGTCACTACTAGGTGTTACATCATGAAAGCAATTTTGTTTGAACAAACTTAGAATGCTTGGTATCAAACCAAGAGGTATAATGGCCATAAAATTGCTCAGGAGCATACACCAAGGATTCCAAGTGCCTTCAGAGGCTCATATGTATCCAATTATTCACTAGTCTTGGTAATATTCTAGGAAGAAAAAGAACTTTATTTTAAGGTAAGAACTATAAACACAGGCCATTAAAGGTGAACATTCTCATAATACTTTGGTTGTTAAAAATGTGTCTGTGCTTCCTGGTGCTTTTAACAAGAGGTTGTTCAACACAAGCTTTTATGGAAAGAAAATTGAATTCTCTCCCCAGCCCATCTGTACTTCCATATGCACAAAGCACACGCAAGTAACTGTTGTTAACCAAGGCCAGGATCTGTCAACAGGATAGATGAGCTTTTGGTAGCCTCCAGGTATCCCTTTCACTATGTATCCCGCCAATGCTCTGACCAGCTCCTTCTTGACCAGGTGTCAGCCACACAGTCTTAGCAGGGATTGTAGATTCCCTTATGGAATGCAGTGGTTTCTACTTACCGTTTGATAGTTTCTTCCTGTCTTCGCCGTTTCTCATTCTTTTCTTTCAGGTAAGCCAGATTGGTTTCATTTCTCAAGCGGTCATTCTCACGGGCAATATCAGACGCATTTTGAATAACCAGACCATCGTATGCCTTCATCCCCATATCCTCAATATACTGGAGAAAAGTGTCCAAAGGGTCTTCTTCAGGATTAGCACTCATCATCTTGGAGTGTATCATGGAAAGGGATGCTTCCTGAAGATGACAACACATCATCCCCTTAGCAAGTGTTAAGTTTTATAACTAAGATTTTGTCATCCCAAATCTCAAGTGAGTTACCTTACTCCTCGGGACATATGTAGCTATAGGGAGGTATGACACTTAAGTTAAGGGTCATTGAGATGACTCCATGGGTAAAGGTCTTGCTGGCTAGGCTAGCGACCTGAATTCCACCCCAGAATCCCTGTAGTGGAAGAGTATTACTGACTTTCCAAGTTGACCTCTGATCTCCACACTTGCACCATGGCACACATGTACTCATCTATGTGTACTCCTGTACTGTAAATAAATTAACGTGTTTAAAATGTATTTAAGTTATGGTGAGTTAGAGCATAAAGTTTTTATAGAATACCATTAAGGAACATAATAGCTTCAAAAAGGATTATATCCTGTTTGTATTAGACCTATGTGTTCCCTTGAATGAAGCTGAATTTTATATAAATAATTCAGATTTATACATTTTAAGTTTTCCAATGAAGAAAATACCTCATTATAAATTACACACCCCCAGATTATTTGAAATAATGTGAAATATGTATGGTTGAGTGTCAAATGCTCCATCTAACCAACAACATCAGTAGGACAAAGGACCATAGTTCGGCCCTGACATCTGCGAATGTGTAAACATTGTATCTGAATATAAATATTTGGTTTGCATCATTACAGTCACAATTTTGTGTCTCAAAATATGTTGTTATAATACAATAGATCTAAATATTGTATTTACATTATCATAATGACATTTCCATGAATATTTAAATTAAAATTATGTTATGTTAGAGAAAAATTAAATGATGTTTTTCCTTAAATACTTAAGTGAAAATGTATACATCTACAATGGCCATACAAAATATAATAGAAACCAATGAAAAACACACAGGTGATCTAATTTGTATACTTTTGTGTCTATGGTATTTTCAAACTGGCCCTGTATGATTGCTTCATATCATATTTTTCTATGATATATATTGTGTATTGGCAGGACCACATACATCTTCAGTATTCTATTAACATTAGCTTTGATATTATCAGAGCATTGCTAACTAGAAGTGTAAAAATTTAAATCACAGGTACAAAAACTTGACAAATCAAAAGCAAACCAAGCCATAGTTTAAAATATGGAACTTTGACCATGTCTATCTAGCTCTCAACTATAAAAGAATGACAAAACTCTCACTGCTTGCTGTGATTTGTAGAAGAGATGGCTGTGAAGGATTTAGAGTAAACTCAACAGTAGAATACAGTGCACCAATGATAAAGGTGGTGAAGAAGATGGACAACAACATCAATGTGAAGTACATGTGTGGATTGATGGATGCATGCATGCATGATGAATGGGTAGGCAGCTGGATGGTCAGACAGGCAAGTTTTAGAAATCATCGTGTGTTGAGGAACTTTCAAAATTTCAAGATGGGGTAGAAAAACTGCCTTAACCACAATAAAGAACTAAATTACATGAAAATAAAAAAATTAGTCTTTTATGGTAATAAGCCTTCTTTAATTTCTTATTCTCTATGGTGTAGAAAACTGATACATGTGTGGCATGTCTGTCATGTTTAGAGACCCTTTCCCTAAACAAACAAAGACTTGCAAAGTACCTTACAGCTCTTACTTCCTTTAAAAATCATGTTGATCAGTCCAACTATTTACTGCAAAAGCCAAGAAGTTTCTTTTTTCAAATATATCTCAAATTTATTCTGAAATTAAAATCATATTTCATAACCTGGGTAGTAGTTATGGAAATCTTATTATATCAGAATTTACTAGCCTCTTAGCTACCAGTTAATTCGAATTTGAATCTCATGCTGAACTTAAAGATTTCTTTCCCAGTCTTTGATATTTTAGAAACTGGACATTGTTGGCTTTGCATTTTTATGTTAAATTGTTATAGTGTTTCATTTGATTTTTTAGGTCTTGTCGGTTAGAACTGAATAGTATTTTAATTCCAACTTTATCATGTATTGAATTGTATATAATATAACTGAAATGTATTAAGATTACATGCTTAAGAGGTGGGCATCTAGAAGAGAAGACAGTTACCACTGTGAATGAATTCCATGTTGATGGGAGGGACTCCGGAAAGTATCTTCAGCTATCTAAAGCTTTACTGTTATCAGGAATTCACTTGCCTCAAGAACTTCCACAGTAGGGACTCCAGGCTAAAAAAAGACTGGCCTAACTTCATGACAATTAATCTTACCTGAGTTAAGCAAGCCAGCTCAGTGTTATAAGCATGCTAGAGGTAACACCGCAGGCTAGAATGAGTCCTCCCACTCTGCCCTCCAGCAAAACTATATTTTTTCTAGGTGAAAAAGCATGGTTATCCAAAGGGTTGTATTTTATTCATTTATTTTGCTGAGGTTTTCCACCTACCCTAGTGACTCTTACACAGCTAATATATTATAATGGTTGACAAGGTAGTTGGTTATTTATGGACATTAATTATCATTATTAATAGCATTTCAAAATACATGGAGTTTAAATTGTTCTGAGAAAATGTGAAATAATATTTTTGCAAATGTTTTTATATGGGAAAGTTTTTTTGGCTCATGTGGATTTTTTTCAGATGAAAATCAACCATATTGTCAAGTTCAACTCCATATTATGAAAATGGGTTGCATGTTTATGTATGTGCCCATACCCACCTCCAGGAAGGTATTTGGTCATGTGGCAATCCATATATTTAAGAATAGATTGGGCACCTGCTACAAACAGGGCACTGATAAATGATAAATGCTGAAGTGTAATCTTCTAGATGTCACATTGCAGAAGAAGACTAGAATAATAACTACATCTCATCTGATTCTCATACTGTTTACGTCACTAGCTGGCCATGAATTTTTTTGTTTTGGTGTTTCTCTGTAGCTTTGGAGGCTGTCCTGGAACTAGCTCTTGTAGACCAGACTGGTCTCGAACTCACAGAGATCACCCTGCCTCTGCCTCCCGAGTGCTGGGATTAAAGGAGTGTGCCACTACCACCCAGCTATGAATTTTTTATTACCACTATTTGTGTGAATAAGTAGGTATAGCTTCTCAACACTGATGCATGGTCTTTAAAATAAGATTAGCAGCCTGTCAATGATTAAGCTCACAGTATTTTGTTTTCTGGTCCCCATGGAAATTAGTTTGTGATGTGCAGGGGCTCTGAAAAACTCATGTAGAGCACAGGTGCAAGTTTTTCCATATGCTCTAATGAGCTCAAATAAGTTGTTTCTACATTTATGGCTTTGCATTAATACCTTTAAACTTCACTTTACATTAAAAAAATGATGGCAACTGGAGTGGACCATGTCATGCGAATTTGGTTTAAAAATTAAAAAAAGGATATATGTTTTATGAGCCTGGTGGTGATATTGCTAGTAGAGTCTTTCACAAACTCTTTTTAAATCAAACATTTTTATTTCATTCATTTATGGATTTTTTTAATTGTGGGGCATATGATGCCACAACTTCTATTTGAAGTTCAGAGGAAAACTTGAGGCAATTGGCTATCTTGCCCTATCATGTGGGTCATGGGGATCTAACTCAGGTTGTCAGCCTTGGTGGCAAGTGCCTTTATCAGATGAGCCATCTGTCACACACCCCTACTGGTGTTTAAAATAAAATTATTTTAAAAATGATTATTAATGATTTGATTTTTGTGTGAATGTTTACGCGCGCGCGCGCGCGTGTGTGTGTGTGTGTGTGTGTGTGTGTCTAGGCATGATTTCCACAGCATGAATGTACAGGTCAGAGTCAACTCTTACTTGTCTATTCACTCCTACCACCCGTAGGATCTGATGATGGAACTCAGGTCACAAAACCACATACAATTGCCTCTACTTTTGAGCCATCATTCAGGCCTTGCCAATTCTTAACTACAGGAATTACTGTTTTTAACAGCATGGCTCCTTGATAAATTAATTTTACTTTGAAATATATTGATAGATTATTTAAAACAGTACCCCTTCCATCATCATGGATGTTCACATGGAGACAAAATTAGGAATAAACATGCTTATTCATTAACCAAACAATTTGTAATCAAAACACTAATGCATGCACCTCCCATTGTCCAAATCTAAATAAAACAAGGGCACTGGGATCTATGCATCACAATGTTCATTCCATCTTGAACCTTACAACTTTGCCTTTTGAAACTGAAGTATATGTTTTATATGAATGAACCATAGCTCTATCATGGTGAGCAGATTCAGTAGAAAACAGAACTGTGTTAATTGTCTACCTTGTTATAACTACTATTATTTGCTGCAATGAACATGAAAATCCAGTAAATCATAAATGTGTTTTCAGAATGCAAACTTATGGATAAGATAGATTGAGTAATGTATGCTCCATGTCTAGCCCATTTAAGAGTTGGCTGTAGTTTCTGCTTCTTAAATTGCAATTCTGTTTAAACAGACACAGAATTCCTCAGTTGGTCTCCTAGGAATTGCTATTAAAATACCAATGGGTTCTTGTGTTCTGTATAGCATATTTAGGGTTTTCTCAATAAGTAACCACTGCCTTCACTTGCCTTCTAATTAGGTATAGAAACATTAGAATGCATAAGGTTGTAAGAGAACTTCTGCCTTCCTATGGCCACCAATAATCTTGTGTGCACAATTTTTCTTTTGCTTAAAATAAATGAGAGACATTTTCTGCCTATCTATACTCTTGGAGCAATGTGTCTTCTTTCTAAGAGTAAATATGCTTTCCTTGTAAGCCACAACACTGATCCAAATAGTACAATTAGTGCCATGACATGTATGGGGTTAGTGAAATTTATGACTAAATTTAAAGATCAAATCAAGGATTCTCCTGGGATATTAGGTTAAATGACCAGATCAGAATCTCGTGCAATACACAGGAAAATTCAGGTCTTTACTGTATGACTTTATAGACTTTTGTGCTCTGCATTTTTCCAAAGATTCTGTTCACTTAATATTTAGATTACTATGTCTACAATCATGTCTGATCTT